ATGGGAATGAAAAGCATGAGGCTTAGATAATGACAAAAAAACCATGTCTACCCAGAGAGTCATACAGGCTCAGCTAGTGTTTGGAATGGGATCAAGAGAGTCACCAACGGGTAGGACACAGCAGCCTGAGAAATCAAGCAGGGAGGTGAGCTGTGTGGTCTGGAACACACCGTATGAGCAGCATCAACTCCAGTGCTCACGGGGAGGCTGTGGGGAAGATCAGGCCCATCGGGAAGGAAGCTTCGTAGCAGTAGCACTCCAGCGGGGATACAAGGCCGATGGCCTGGTCCCCGAAAGAAATCAAGACTTTGGTTGTTTTCTAGCGACTGGGTGATGCCACTAATCACGCGGGTAAGGAAAGGAGGTCTCAGGAAGCTCTGAAGATGGCAGAGCTGTGTCTATGCTTCTTTGTGGTGACTTGGAGCCTGTTTTGAGAGATTCGTGGATAGAGGAGGGAGAAGGATCTTGGAGAGCGAGAGTAGGCCTCAAATACCTTGCATCTTGTGCTAAGTGAGAGGGGCCACTGCAGGTTGGCTCGAGGCTGGGTGTCATTCTTATAGCTGGGAGGACACCGGAACCCAAGTTGTGATGACCGTCCCAGGGGTGTGTGAATACCTGCCGCCCAAATTTATATCACTGGGCTGCTCTCTGTCCTGTGTGCTATCTGTGCGGAGGAAGGGGAATTTGGCGGGCACATGAGTAACACTTCGCTGGGTATTAACAGAACTGGCTGTTGAAATCTGCATGCATTCAGAGTCCAGGCGTGCTGGGAACCCAGGAGGAAGTGTGAGAGAAGCAGGAGAGGATGCCAGGACCAGGGGAGCCAGGGACTGTGGGAACCTTTTCTAAATGTAAAAGAGAGGGGCCAGGGGAATCTCACACCTGTAATTTAAATGCATAGTTACAGTATTTTATGTGTGCACTGGCCCAGTGCCTGTAGTACTTGGTGACTGAAATATGTACATGAAATAAAAATTGGCTTCGATATGAGTCCTAATTTTTCCTCCCTTTTCTCCTGAAACAAGTTTCTGAATGAAACAAGGAAAAAAATTGCTGGCTTAGGTAAATTATTTTTTCTTCTTTAAAAGAAATATCAAATTTTCTGATAGTTCATGTTGATAATTGATTCTTAAAAGCATATTACAGGGGGCTGGGGATTTAGCTCAGTGGCAAAAGCGCCTGTCTGGCAAGCGCAAGGTCGTGAGTTCGGTTCTCGGTACCAGAGAAAAACCAAAAAACCAAAAAAAAACCAACAACAACAACAACAAAAAAACAAAAGCATATTACAAAGCTTTTAGTTCTGTTTTTGTTTTTATGAGAAAGACTCTAATTCCCTCTTGGTGATTATTAGTAACTCTGGTTCTTCTTGGCCCTGGATTGGTTTGAGAGGGAAGTAGACATGTCAGAGACATACTTGTGTAAATGTACAAGCATTTTTTTTCCTTCCTTGGCAGTGGGAATCGAACTCAGGACCTTGTGCTTGCCAAGCAAGGCCCTGTGCTCCTGAGCTACGTCCCCAGCCTAAACGTACAAGCTTAAACTCTGTCTCCTGGAGCAAAACTGTGAAAAAGGGTGGGTCTAGGTGAGTAGCCCTGATTGATCCTGGGTTGCTAAGGGGCAGATTAGGCAGAAATTAGCTCTGGAATTTAACTCCCACAAGGAAGTTTGGATAAGTTAACTCGACATTTCTTAAAAAATTTTCTACCATTGGTAGTGCTTCAGTAGAACTCAGGGCCTCCTTATGCACACTAAGCAAGCACTCTACCACTGAGCTACATTTCCAGCCCTTTAAAAAAATTATTTTGGGAGAGGCCTGGAGGACACCAACATGAACAAGTTCCAGTCATAACTTTTAATTCAAGAGTTTAATTTTACCAAAAAAATTTGAAAATTTCTATTCAGGTTATTGGAATTAGTTATTCAAAGAAAAAAAAGGGGAAGAATCCTGCTGTTTTCAGTGTGTCTTAATTTCATTTTTGTAAATATTGAGGAATTTCAATTATGAAAAAATCTTAAAAGATACAAGTATATGTACTTTCATTTCCTGTCTTAAAGATTTTGAGTTATAATACTATTTTCACATTATTTCAAGTATGCTGTGTTTTGAAATGAGATACCATTTTTTCCCCAATATAAATTGTTTTCATAAAAATCTGGTATTGGTTGTGGCCTAGTGCCTTGGGTTTCACAGACTTTT